CCCTAGACTTAAAAGTAACTGCATGCTTTAGTTGTGACTTCTGATTATTCAATGATTGTGAAATAATTACATTTGTAATAACTGGTGCTTTTTATTGTGCTCTGATTTGAGTAAATACTAAGTAAATAAAAAAAACTTTTGTTTCTTCTAGGGTGGTCAGTTCAGTGTTGTCCCTTTGTTTCTGAATTTGGGTTCTGGTCTTGCCCTTCTGGGAATTGTAAGTTAACAAGCTTGGGTAATTCTGCAGTTGTTAGAAGCTGAAATGTATTTTTTTCTTTTTTCCATTTCTATTGACTTAAAATAGCGACACAGTGCCAAGGAAGGAGTAGTTATGAATGAGATCTGGATGATAGACACAGATCTCTTCATGGAATCTTTGTGGATTTTCTTTGTAGTAATTCATATGATTTATATGCAACTGGGTTTTCTTACACTCCATAACTGACCTAATTATGGAGGTTGATTGACGAGGACAGTTCATTATGTGTATTATTCAGAGAATGAATCTTACATGAATTGTTTGCCAATATCTTGTTATAGCTTATGGCGACTGTATCCTGTGATAACCCATTTTACCTATTGGAATTGCTGTTGCTTTCTTACAGGCGACAGTGTTGTGTGATATTGTTGTTCTCTACTTTGTGAAACGAAAGACATACTACAGGTCGAAAAAATACCAAGTTGTGAATGATCCAGATGATGATGATGAGGTAAATAAGAAAATCTCTCTTATCAACCTACCTTATGCGCCTACTCTGTGTTTAGAAGTGTTGCCAATACAAGTATGCGCCGCTAAGTATCAGTAAGTTCGTATACTTAAATTGCCTAGAGTGGTTTTCTATCAGATTGCTTCAGTTTAACTAATCATAGTATAGCACAACCCATCATAGCAAGGTTTACGTTGTTGACACTGTGTTTAGCTTTGTAAGATTGTTTTACTTTCTATCAAAGATTGTGGATTATGGTTAATGTATTTCACCTGGTCTTCTTTGCAGAGAGGACATTTGCTTTATACTGACGAAAAGAAATAGCGAGAGGAGGGTGCGCTAGGATATTCTAATTATAGACTTCATTTCATATTTTACACGAGGCAGCTTTAGCCTATCTCTAGATCCAACTTCAGTCAAAAAGCCTCGTTCAATGAAATGGATCAATCTAGTTCTCCTATCTTGGAGGGGGGGGGGGTCCAAACTTTGAAATTTAGACTTTTTATAGCGACTCTCTTAGTATCAAAAAGAAACTTAAGAGAGTGTGAATGGTATTATCACATGTATCACCATGAAGGCCCTTAGTTGTCCTAGAGTATTTATTAAACAAGAAGTAAAAATTCTTCACTCCATTGAAGGCTCATCAAATTTGGCGAGAGGTATTTGAAAACTTAAGTTTGTCCGAAGCATGTTTTTTTCAAGAAAAAAAAAACAAAGAAATCAAAGGGAAGGAAGTAAACTAATTATAGTATAGATTTTGTAATGATTAAATCAATACAGACTGTATTAGAGATATCTTAGAATAAAGTTTTGCCTTTTTATGATTTAAAATTATTGCTCACGATATTTTTAGATCTTTTGGATTTGTTACTAAGGAATCTAACTGGAGTTAAGACTCCCGTCGACCCTTATCTTTTTGTTCGTTATGGGTACCTGACAATATTTTCTACTCTCTTTGTATACTGGAGGTACTTTTTTAAAGGAGCTTTCTGAAAGGAAAATTCAATTAACATAAAATATCAAATGAAGCAACGATCTCCACCGGAGCACCAGCAATTTAAGCAATTACAGAAATAGGCCTGTAAAAAACTCATGCATCAACCTTATTCGTACCCATGCCCCTCAGGTACTAGTTGAGCGCCACTACCAAGTGAGTTACGAAGCGACACCTTAAAGGCAGGGGACATTTCAAAGGGTTTTACTTTCCCGTGTAGGATCTTGAATGTGGGAAGTTAAGGAATTAGGCAACAAGTCGCAAATATAGCTTTTAATTCGAAGATGTCGACAACTTTTCGAAGTCTTGAAATTCCTAAGCAGTAAAGCGGGGTAAACTCAAGAAGAAGTTCTCATATGTCTCCTCAACGATTGACAAGTACGACAAACCCCCTTCATTAGACACACCCACAACAACGCTTCTGAGATTTTTTCGAGCTTCCGTTACAACAGTACAGTTTGTTATGTTTAAGATAACGTTGGTTTTGAAATCTGTCAAAATTTCAAAAGAGAGAACGCGTTAAAAAATTATTCCGTTTTCTACAGAGAATTAAATATGCAGTGCTAGCTTTTTCACGATCACTAGAGGTCCAGGATGGACTGCCAACTGATCTGAATTGCAAAATCTTTCCTCGTTATTATTCATGATTTTCTCTCACTTGCACGTGTTACTGAGACGTTGCTCGGGTGTGGAAAGTTCTGTGGCCGTTTAGGTCTTCTTACTTTGGTTTACAAGCTTCAGGATTAATGAAAACTTTTCTGAGGACACAAAGGCTTCTATAATGGCCACGCAAAATCCTACCGAAGGCAACTTCGGCGAAAGGTCGCAAATTGTGCAATGGCATCGGAACATGATGCCGTACAAGATGACAACCAAAATGGTGGACTTGTGCTTCCTTGCTTTTCAAGGTAACAAGCAGGTTTTATTGTGATACGGTGAGTTTGATAATGGTTTTCCACGTAAACTTAAACTAATCCTACTGTTTTTTCCTCAACAAAATATCTGGAGTCGACGTGGAAAAGAACATGAAATATGGCAATCAAAGAGAGCTCCTGGAATCGGTGAGTAGAAATTTTCGATGCTTAAGAAGGCCTTTGGTCTGTAGTTCTGTTACAGGACTCTTGTTGATGCGGTTACAACAGTGATAATGTAGATAGCTCGTGTTAAGATCAAAAAATCAAAACAGAGATGTAAAAGACTGTCAAAGATTTTGTTTAATGATCATTCCATTCCTTAAATCCACTGATAACCTTTTGTGCTCAGCTGACTCTCATGACGATTTTCAAGATATTTTCAAACAAAACGCCACCTTTAGGTAGTCTTTCATAGGTACAACCCTGTGTTTCCTGTTATACTTTGGGAATTTTCCTACATTTCAATTTCAAACAGGGAAACAAAGACTGATTACAATATGTTATGAAAGCAATTTTGTCGTCTCGTGAAATGTACTCAGAAAAATCAGTAACTGGCAAATCATACTTCATGCGTTTGATCAGTGATGTGACCGATGCCCTCGCAAAATTATATATCCTATTAAAACCAGGATTTTGTGCAACTGTCTTCGACTATTGGACTTCATTTTCGACTGCTCCTTCCCTAAGTTTATTGATAATCTTGATACTTCAATGCTCAAGCTGGCTGAGTTTAATAGCAATCTTTGGACACATTTCAACCAATATCACCGCATTTCTTCATTAGAATTCTTAGTCCACACGAGGAGGGGGATTTTTCCCTACATTTAAATGCACGTCTTCTCTTCCTTACCGAATTCTGATGATAGATACGATTTACGATTATTTGTTCAAAATTAAGATCGTGTCAGTGAACGTAGACAGTCTCAATCATCGGTTGCAACGAAAACGAAGACCCCCGAAAGCTAAGACCTGAGACCTGAAAACGAAGACCCCTTTATTTATTCATTCAGTATGATCTTATCATGGTTTCTCTCCGGAAATATCCAGAATCAAAGACCAGTTTTACATGTACTCCCTTTAAATCTGCTCATTTGTTCCTGCCGAACGAAGCGCCAGTGAGAACCGTGTGAGAATTGTTGGATTCTTGTTTTCTTGTTGATTCCCAAATGGCTTTTATCAATCTTTGAGTGTGGTACTGCAATGGAACTTTTCCAAGCTGAACCAATGTAAAATGAAAATTGGAGGAAAAGACATCGTTTCTAGCGGAGATCAAAGTAGAACTCGATCGATTATGGTCTGTTTTAGATCGTCCGAAGCCTGGTAAACAAGATCGATCGTGCTTGTTCAAAGATTCCACTCTTACATACGGAGTGAGCCTATAAATAACCACATCTAGCATTTTCTTGGTTTTAATTTGTAAGTAATGTCGGGGTAACGGCCTGTATAAGAAAGCTTTGCAAAGTTTTCATTTCAACTGCCGAGCCCAGTTCATTTAAATGAAATTTAACAAAATCAAACACAATTATACCAGCAGCAATTTTCTTCCATACAAACTTCAAAATAATTTAAACAGAACTTTTAAGATACATACTGAAAATTAAAAATCGGTGTTGGCGACCACACACAAACACCGTTGCTAACAGATCACGGAAAACACATCACAGATTTATTTAGAGGTCATTTTTATGGTCCTAGAATTAATACGAGGCAAATAACGATGTTTTGCAAGCCACAACCTTTACATCTGGCAAATTTCAGACGAATCGAGGTAGCTGGAGAGCACACTTTTTAAAGTTGACACGTTATTTTGAAAATAAAGGGGTCGTCGTTTTCGGGTCTTTGTTTTCGGGCCTTTTTATATTAAACCTGTCTTTTATGGAATGCTTTATCGCTATCATGATTAGAAAGATTAAAACCGGAGCTGACTTGTGGCGAGAAACTATAATAAGATTATGTTAAATAAAGAAAGTAAAGGGATCTTCGTTTTTGTGTCTGCTGCATTTATAATGCATGCAGACACTTAGATAAGCTGTAAAACGCGCGACCAGCTACTTCATATACGACAAGATCTCGGATTTACTCTTGACGTTTCACTGCGGATTCCATTTGGTGACAGGATACATGAAATATGCACGGAGGGGTAATACTTTCGGCCTGTAATACTTTCGGCCTGTAATACTTTCGGGTGCAAACTTCGTTCCTCAGGGGAATAATCTATCCAATCGGATACGAGGAAAGGACAAAGGAAAGAGGTCGTGGCGAACTACCGATTTCCGGGAAGACTCGGAACCAATCAAATCTGAGAAAAGGACAAAGTCAAATCCGTCAAACCATGTGCTTTCGTAAAACGTTTGGGTTGCGTCGTATCGTCCGGATTTTGTTCGTCAAGCCAGGGTGTATTATTGCTTGCAAGGTGAGTGATCTTTTCGCTTTTCATATTTGTAATGGATTTCTTAAAAGGTGTTTTCTCATTTTGCCACAGCATTCGCACTGGGTGTCATTCCGGCCGAGTGAAAGGTTTTGAAAGATGCTTTGAATTTGTAAATCGACTGAAGCTTTCTCGGCGCCAACACGATCACCGCCCGGCCATTTTGCAAGTGCTCAGGACGCAAAATAAGCTTTATGAGCCCCATTTGGGGAATGCAAAGTCCCTTCGGGGAACAATTGAGCCCCATTTGGGGAATGAAAAGCCCGTTAAGGGAATTATTAAGTCTCACCTGGGGATTACAAAGCCCAATGCGGGATATAATATGCCCTGTTTACGAAATGGATTTGGCAGAAGATACATGTATTTCACTACACACGTGAAAACATCTATCACTAGACAAACATGTGCGAAAGCTGTGGCGATTTTATACAGAGGAGAGAAACCTAGAACTAGTATTCTTCATGATAAGTACTATCTAAGCATCGCTATGAACAGATCTTTGCACACAGTTGTAAGGTATCAATGCTTTCAAAAATTGGAATCCTTCATCAAGATGAATCAAGCGCTCAATTGCTCCTTCACATTTCAACTGTCCAGCATTTGAAGATTTGCTATTTCCTTTGCACTTCCTAAGTGCAACTTGTGATTTTCTTAAGAGAATTTTCATTTGAAGCTTTTTTGTTTTGAAGAATATATTTTCAACACACATAGCAGCTCTCCTATCTGATCGTCTTAGTTCAGATTTACAAATGTCGCTATAATGAACATTAGCTAGTCTATCTTTATTTTCTGGTCGACTTTGACCAAGGAATATACCAGGATATGCTGACTCTTCAGAATGTTGATCTCTGAATATACTTAAGGGTTTGTTTCCCTCTCCTGGTGCAACATTTAAAATACGTTGAGGCAGACTGTCTTCAAAATAATGTGTGTTGGTCAACATGGTGTCAGTAACACCAGCAGGTGTTTCTGCTTCATCTTCAGTCCACTGATCATCATTATCATTACTGTCATTTCCATCTTGCTTATTGGAACCACTGCTCTTTTCTATTTCTTGTAATTGTTCACTTTGATTTTCAGTATTAGTATCATCTAATAAACAGTTTGCAGTATACTGCACTCCCCAACCTTCATTTAGTGTTATTCCTTCCTGTCTGTAGAGGCTGCTGTTGTTGATTGATTTATAATGAATAAGTAAACAAATAAAAAATTATAATTCACCTAGGTAAGTTTTTTTTTTTGGCATTTTGTTGTTATAGTTAAATTTGTAGTAGTAGTCGTAGTCGTCGTCGTCTTTTGATGCAGTGCTCCCTATGTTATTAGAAATTTTGAAATACATTATATTGCTATGAAACAAACTCAAAAGGTTCTTTTTCACTTGCAGGCAATGGAAGAACAAAAAGAAGAGATTGTTGGTTTCTTACACAATGTGTCTCCAACTAAAAAAAGTAGCAAGACATCTTACTTTGACATGTCCATACAAACCACCGATGGCTTAGTAAGAGGAGTCTGCTTCTCCGGAAGTAAACAGGAACACTTTGATCAAATGAGCAAAAAGAAATCTCCAATAAAACTTCGAAATTTTAGAATTGAAAGAGCAGGAGATGCAACCACAGTACTGATGAATAACAATGTACTGTTAGAGCCTACAAAAGAAATACCTTTTTCAAGAATTGAGTTGCCAAGTGCCAACAATATCCAATCAATTTCAGCTGCAAACACAAATCAAAGTATCACCATCAAAGCCAAACTTATTCAGATGTCATCAACAAAAAAAGTGAAGACAGAGGATGGTGAAAAAAAAAAGTTGTTTGCCTATCTTGTGGACCCACATGGAGCCATTAAGGTGACACTTTGGGAACAATTCTGTGGATCTCATTAATCCTGCTGAGCTACCTCAGAACTTTACCAATACAACAGCAGCAGCAGAAATACTTGGAGTGCGAAGTGTCACGGCATATCAAGCCTGCTGCAACTGTAACAAAAAGCTGGTAATAGAGACGTCTCCCATACTAACCTGTTCAACTTGTGGGCTCAAGCAGAATATGAAGTCCACCATTCAACAATGTTATGGACAACTACTGGTACAAATTAAAGAATCAAAGATCACAGTGACCCTGTTCAACGACATCCTGCATGATATGCTAGCGTCACAAGGAAAGAGCACTCTTCCGATCACTGAAGAAACCATAACTGCCTTTCTTCTAGAGTTACCAACTATAACCAGCATAACATTCAACAACAAACAAAAATAGTGGAGTCAGTGCAAATCTGAATAAAATGAACAATTTCCTGTCACACATCAGTGGAAATTACTACTGAATACCAAACGTTAATAATACCTGTTTTGTTACAGTTTGCAACAAACATTTTGTAGACACTGGTTTTAAGTGAAATGATTGTTTCTCTGACTGATAAACATTATTTACAAGTACACGTGCTGCTTTTTTTGGGATAATATTTCTGTTGCGTTACATTTCTGATACATTTCATTTCAATTAAAAGACAAACACTTCAAAATACTTTTAAAAGTATATTCACCTATTAGTTACTTGAACACAACAATGTAAATATACTAACTTTGTTTTACCTATGTTTTGTTCCAAATTGATTGCATATTACCATTAAATGAAAAACATAATGATTTCCAAGGAATTATTACAACCAGAGACTTTTTCTTGCTTTGCAAAACTGCTACTGCGTTTGCATTACAGTTGTCTTGTGTTACAAAGACTTCAGATACTATTCAATTTTGTTAAAAACTATTGGCTGTTGTATTTCAATTCTTTGATTTAAATATTCTGCTACAAAATAAAAGAAACGTTCACTTTAATGTTAGATTCTTTGCAGTACCATAACACAATAAAAGTTATTTAAACAGTGATGAAGATGTAATCACAATCATGATATTGATGATTGATATTGATGATTGATATTGATGATCCCTTACCTCCAACTGGAGCATTGGACATTCACCACTTCAGTTCCCCATCTTTGTGATGCCTTGAGCATTCCATAGCACTGCCTTTCGGGAGATGTTTCTAGCCAGTTTAACAGTATTAAAAAAAATAGGTGCCTACAGCAGATTCCATTCCACTGCAGCAGACACAAGTACCCATTGGGTACCTATTTTTGGGTCTTAGCTTTCGGGGATTTTCGTTTCGCTACAACCCTATATTGTCAACATTTCATAAATTGGACGTCCATAAAAATTAATTCTATACAGTGTAAATGTATGCAATCGTCTTCTTCAATCGCTGGAATTTAAGGGAATATTCATCTTTGGTTTCCTTTGCTATTATCACAACAATTACAACTAGGAATCATATTAGTTCTCTTCTTTGACAGTAGGTCTAACCAGCTGCTTTTTGTTTAATTTCTTCCCCGATATCATTCTGTGCAAAGGTCACTCGACTATCACTTTGAATCATATGTGGCAAATGGACAAATAACTGGACTGAAATCAAGCCGCTGGAGGAATAAATAAGTGGATTGAGATCAATTTGACAAACGGACAAGAAACTGGATTGAAATCAAAGTGGAAATGGACAAGACACTGGATTGAAATCAAGCGTACACATTCAGAGGTAGAATCCTGAATTAGATGAACAATGATAGGCTGCGAAGGTGCGTTTTAAACGCAGTTATAGTGCCTAGTTACAACCAATTTGAAGATAATCTGGAACGAAAATTTTCAACGAGTGTCAAACGAATTTAGTTCCATTCTTTTTCAAATACTTTCGACCACCTGCAGGATTTTGTTTTTATGAAACATGCTTCAAACCAACCTTAGAGAGGACTTTTTCAAATAGCTTGAGCATCGCGATGCAGAAATTATGATAACAAACCAACATATCAAATTTCCGGATTTTCAAAGACAAGCTTAAAATAGGTGATATGAATTGTCTGCCTTTGCACTCTAAATTCAGGAAATGTTTCAAAGGATTGAAGAAATTTGTGTAATCAAACTATTTTTTGATTGAAAAAAAAACGATAATCAATGAAAGGAAATTTTCCATGTGAATCGACAGATTTTTGTATTTAAGGTCATGATAAGTGACGCAAATTGTTCTCCTTGGTCGTATCAATGACGGAATAATTACAACTAAAATTGTATGGATTTTAGATATTTAGTATTGTTCATATGATTCAACTTAAAACACAATTTTATTTCATTCAAAAGGAAGAAGCGTTTATTAAGCACCTTCGCTTTTTTTTTCAAAGGCAAAGTTATGAATTATCAACATTATTCCAATGCAGAGTTTCTTGTACCTCTTCACAAGTTAAGCGATTTTTGACATTAAATCTGATCTAATTTTTGTTCTGAAGTCTCGTGAGTTTATTTTTTGTCATATTTTTTGCTCGCCAAACCCCTGTTCAAAATTTTTAATTTTCCCGCCAAAAAACTTAGAAAAATACGAAGCGCTAAAAATACGCATGCGCCAGGTTTTTTTTTTTAATTTTTCGAAACTCCTTTCAAAATGGCGTAATTTTCCCGCCAAAAAACTTAAAAATACAAGGCGCCCAAAATACGCATGCGCCTTTTATTTTTTTTTTAGAAGATGTACATAATAAAAGCAATATTATTCTCGATGTATATTGTTGAATAGCAATCAATAAACACTACAATGTTTACTGTCATTCTCATCTTTATTTTCTTCTTTGAATTATTTCAGTTAATAAATAACAAGTATTTTTCAATCATTAAGTGATTTTCCATTAATTAATCACAAAGGTGTCAAGAAAAATTCGTTCAAATATATACTAAGACTTTTGGCGGGAAAATTTGGAGCAATTTGCACAGAGTTTCCGCTGACAACTTTCTCGACAAAAAATTAAAAATAGCTCCCCTTGAAAATTTCCGCCAAAATATGAACAAACATAACCTCGTACAAAACTTTATCTAAAAATTGTTTGCCAAATTCTAATTTACTTTTTTCGAACGTAAAATATTGGCCAATTTCGTTGTTTTCTTGTTTTGGTTCTAAAGTCTTACACCAGGTTTTGTTTGTTTACAATTTTTTTTCACCATTTTTAGCACAGCACAAACAAATTGCAAAATACAGAGTTTATTTTTCTGGTTTTGGTTTCCCCGATTTAAATTTCTACATCAAATTGGTGATGAAAAGACGGTTGTGATCTTCTCGAAAGAGCTAGTGTTCTTTAGAATTGACATTTTGAGATTGCAATCGAATTTGTTCTACTCCAAAAATAAAATTTTACAGAAGTCATACAACTGCAGAATTTCATGAAAACTCTGTATTTTGCACAATGTTTACACCACGAAGAAAATGGCGGAAAAATTCTGAACTATTTTATCTAATCTTAAGAAACAGGGCAAGCCAGAAAGTTGGACAGAAAAAACCCGAATTTGTTTCAAAAATAAAATTTCTCTATTTTGTAATCAAAATCCACCAAACAGACTGATTTTAATTAATAAAGTGTATCTCAATAACATTGACTTGCCATGTCCCTTAAGATTATACCTTTACGCTGGAAGAAAAGAGACAAAAGGCATCCCTGTTCCAAATTATATTGCTCTCAGCTTGGTACAATATCAAGACAATTTCTCCGTGTTGATTGTAACCTTTTTTAATCTGGGATTAGATATTCAAATTACTGCAATTCCCAATTGCCGATTGCAAAGTTCCTTTTTTTGCCACGCCAAGACTAATTCAGAACAAAGGAAAGACAATTTACGCACGCACAATGCAATTTTTGATTACGTCGGGAGAATTTATCAAATAATTCCCTAAGGGATTAGATAAATTTCATTTTTGCTCCAGAAAGACGTCTCGCGTTATTTCGTCTCCAACCTTAGAATCTTTTTTTTTTTTTTTTTTTTTTTTTTCTTCAGTATATATGATGTCTCGCCTCTTTCTCTTCCAGTGTATAGGAACATTAACTAACAATATAGATATGTAGTTCTCAAAAACCATCGCTGGTTCTTGCAAGATTTTTTGCAGCATCGAGGCTCCAAATTGTAGTTAATTTTCCTTGTGTACATTTTAGAAATGTCAACTATCACCTTCGGTTTGTTCTAATTTCGTTCCTTGCCGTGATGTTGCGTAACCTTTTTGTCAATTAGGGCAATTGTTTTAGGTTAAAATTAGCATTGTAAATTTTTCATTTCAAAAAAATTTTTAAAAATTAGTTGACTGCTTTAAAACGGAAAGTAATCATTTAGTTGCACCAATTTTCGTTGAGGAAATAAAAGCTTGAGGAAAGTTCAAATTAAAGACACAAGTTTTCTCCTTTTTGTAAACGAGATTGTCAATTGTACGAAATTTGTTGTATTAGGGATGCAATCATTCCAACTTCGACTCAAATTTCTAAAAACAAAGTTAATTTCCTATCAGCGCCAATTTTCACCCAACAATAATTACCAATGATATTGTCTTCACATTGTTTCCGTTTCTGTCTCGACTTTTTGTACCTTTTGTACTTTCCAAAGCCCTACTATAAAACAGGGTAAAACTTTTCAAAAAACTGACACTAATAGTGCAGTTCATGCATAAGGCTTTGTTTGCCTTAATCGCTTTTGTTCTCAGACCTCGAAGAAAATTAATTGCACCAGCGATTGCTTTTTGAGAACTAAGTTTGGATATATTAACTAATAAGATTCTCGTAAACAAGTGGCACCACTGATGAACAGAGAGACCAATGAAGGAAAATTACCATCCAAATTTTCGGTCAAAGATCAGTCAAACTTAGCATATACATTGTAAAGTTATGATGATTCATGAAGTCAATCTGTCGTACTCGATTACTTAAAGCTTAGATTGCAGTGCCACTTGCTATCGCCTCAATACCCGATTTAAATGGCGGTAATATATCTTATAGAAGTTGAATTGCAATATATTGCAAGATATTTCTTTTATCCGATTTATCAGCTATTTTGGCAAAATTATCTCTCCAAACTCCGTATTTTGCATCCTCTCTTGACATTCAAACCACCATTTTTTCAGAATATTTTGGCGTTTTACATAAATAAAATTCTTATCTTAACGACGTTCCTCCAGTGCTTGACAATCCATTGATTCTCGCTTGTGAATTCTGCTTGTTGTGCTTATTCAACTTGTTGTCTTCGTTGTGGTTTACGTCTGAATATGGGACAAAAAATAAGAAATTTAGCATCATAGTTAAAAAACCTTGATTCGGTAAAATTTCGGCACAGCCCCATACTATTGTAAAACAAATCTGTTTTCCCAATGGCAATGTATTGTTTTTGTTGTTGTTTTCTCTATCCAAGAACTGAATGCATAATGTAGTTTGGGGCTGTGCAGAAATTTTACCCTTAATTCTTACAAACTTTATTCGTATATTAATTCAAAGGTTTCTGTTTAAAAGTGACTTTCTAAGGAAGATAACGTTCGGAAGATGAAAGAAATTCCTTGATTATTCCCACCACGTTTTATCGCACAAGTGTAATGTCTCATCACAAAACATTGAACGGACTCTGAACTCAAGTTGTGATTGAACTTAGAGTGTTTGTCGTAATTTTTGGGTTTAAAGGTCATGACGAAAGTAAAACTGAAAGGGCTGTTGTGAAAGCATATTTGCGCAAGTCTTCCTATTGCTCTCCCAAAAGCTTGAAAAGTTTCTCGAGGCAAAATCCCAAACGCACATGGCAACCCTTAAATTTATACTTAAATTTACAAGTTTCCCTCGAGTTGAGCACAAAACTCCTATGTGCAATTTAATACACTTACCGGTCGCTTAGTTTCAAGTTCAGTAAAGTAATTCGGCGTTTCCTTCCATCTTTTTTTGACAGAGACATATCGGAGACGACCGGCCTCGCCTGACATCTTGACGTGGCCGCCGACAGTTTCAAATGAGGTGCAATTGGAATTTTTCTTGAATGTAGATCAAAACGAACAACCAATCGGTAGCAAATACGTCACAGTTTTGGGTGTGGTTTTGTTTATTTTGTGCACGCTTTCAAAGAGATTGTTTAATTTTCAAGAGACCCCTTTATCTTTTGGTGTTTCAAACAAAATTTTAAAAGAAAACAAAAGGCATCAAGAGTATTTAAGACGAGGTAAACCATGAGAAAGCAAACAAATAATCCAAAAATCTTAAGAAAGGTTTAAAAAAGAATCAAACAAAAAAACGGTAAGTCCCCTGGAACAGGATCTCCATCCTGACTGGGACCGCCTTCGCGGTACAATGCTCTACCCACTGAGCTGCGGGGAACTTACCATGAAAGAAAGCAAATTTAAAAATTATATGTAACAAGTACCGTATGTACTACAAGGTACAAATGGGCAAAGATTCTGAGGAAGACGTGTTTTTTAACTCTAAGATAACATTACTACAAAAACTTTATTGCTTGATTTAATAACGTTAAATTTCAGCAGTTTTCGATTGTCTATCCTCAATTTAAGAGTGTGGGAAAAGGGTAAACTTGCCAAACTGGCAGTAAACCTTTCCTAGTGTAATGATGTGAAAAGACGAGTATACAAAAACATCTCAGACTGTTTAAAAGCTTGGTAGAAGATTAATAAATCATTAAAAAAAAGAAAAATATAAAAAAAATTGAAAAAGAAAATGAAATAAGAAAAAAAAAAAAAAAAAACGGCAAGTTCCCCGTGTCAGGATCTCCATCCTGACTGGGACCGCTTTCGCGGTACAATGCTCTACCCACTGAGCTGCGGGGAACTTGCCATGATTGGCGAGCAAATTTAAAGAATATATGTAACAAGTGAGTCCGTTGTGTAAGGAACAAGAGCAAAGATTCTAAGGAAAAAGCGTTTTGACTCTAAAATAACGTTACTACAAAAACTTTGTTGTTTGATTTGATAATGTTCAAACTTAGTAGTGTTCCGATATATGTCCTCAACGCAGAAGTGTAGGAAAAGGGTAAACTGACCAATAAGTAAAGGAAGGCGAGTATACAAAGACATTTCAGACCATTTATGACCTTGGTCACAGAATAAAATGGGAAATAGAACAAATCATCGAGAGAGAAAAAACAAATCATCGAAAAAAAAATAAAAAAGAAATCAAACAAAAAACGGCAAGTTCCCCGTGTCAGGATCTCCATCCTGACTGGGACCGCTTTCGCGGTACAATGCTCTACCCACTGAGCTGCGGGGAACTTGCCATGAATGGTGAGCAAATTTTAAGATTATATGTAACAAGTTGACTACGTAGTGCAAGGAACAAGTGCAAGGATTCTGACGAAAAAGTATTTTAACTCTAAGATGCCACTACCGATAAAACTTTCCTATCCGATATAATGGTGTTTAAATTCAATGGCGTTTAGATGCAGTTCTTCAATATTTAAGAATGCGAAAAAAGGTAACCTTACTAATGAGTGAAAAAATGAAAAGACCAGCATATGAAGACATTTTAGACTATGTTTAAGCTTGGTATCAAATGGGAAAAGAAAACAAATCTTGGTCAGAAAAAAAAAAAGTTAAAAGAGAGGTCGAACATGAAAATACGGCAAGTTCCCCGTATCAGGATCTCCATCCTAACTGGGACCGCTTTCGCGGTACAATGCTCTACCCACTGAGCTGCGGGGAACTTGCCATGAAAGGAGAGCAAATTTTAAGATTATATGTAACAGGTGGACAAAGTACTGCAATGAACAAAGTCAAAGGTTCTAAGGAGAGTGTGTTTTGACTTCAAGATGACGGCAGTGCAAAACCTTTGTGATTTAATGTAATAATGTTCAACTTCAGTAGTGTTTCAATGCATGTCGTCAATTTAAGGGCGTAGAATAAAGGGTAAATTTTACAATACGCTGTTAACAAAATGAGAAAACTCAGATACAAATCATAAAAAAGGGTTCAACAAGAAATCGAACAAAAAACCGGCAAGCTCCCCGGAACAGGATCTCCATCTTGACTGGGACAGCTTTTGCGGTACGATGCTCTACCCACTGAGCAGCGGGGAACTTGCCATGGTTGGTGGGAAAATTTTCGGGTCATATGTAACAAGTGGAGTACGTACCACTGGATACGACTCAAGAAAAAGACTGAAGAGTTTTGACTCAAATATGACGTTATTGCGAATGTTAAGTCTTTCTTTTATCTTATCAAATCTATTGTAGCTGTTGCGATGCATGTCCTCAATTTGAGAGGGTGAGTAGAGAGGAAAAACTTGCCACTGAGTGGATAAAAAACGGCCGCTTATTTACAAAATGAATCGACCAGTATATGAAAACATTCAAGATTATTTAGAAGCTGAAAATTTTCGACGATTTACCGGTATATTTAAGCCACGAGAGACGTCGGGAGCACGAGAAAAGTAATTTAACTCAATAGCCGGGGGCAAGTGATTTACAAACGTTTCTCGTGCTCCCGATAAGTGAGTTCTACTTATCCCGGCCACCCCCTCACTTTCTCTGTACACTCTGTCCACGTTGCGTTGATCAGGTCTTCCATTTTTTTTAGAATTGAACCTGTTTTCTTAGTCAGATGATCTTTCAATGCGTGAGAAGTTAATTCCCTCCCCGATGCCCACCTATTTCAAATGTAATGGGAGGAACAAAACTTCTTCCAGTTAAAGACATTCCACACGATACATTCATTTTATTTTTATAAGTTCTTTAATTCCAAGTTTGAGCTGAAGGTAGCAAAACTTTGGGACAAAGTTAACTTCAATAGTGAAATGTTTTTTTTCTTATTATCAATCTCTCTCTGGGTTCCGCCGTAACCAAGACATTATTTTTCCTTCTGTGTCTTAGCAGTTCCGCAAACAAAATATCTTCATGGACCAATAAGAACTCGTGCTGAATACTGGGAACTAAGATATCACTCAGACTTGACTTCTTCTGTTGTCCTCGCTTCATCTTTCGTCTCTGTAGCCTTAGTCCGTTCTCCAAACACATCTTGCAAGATCTTAACCGCGGGGGTAGATGCCTCTAGCTCCCCATGCACCCGCCTGTGAGCGTCCTGTACAGCGGTTACTAAACAGAAAAGAGGAGTAACATGTAAAAGCCTACAAGAAGCAGCAGAGTGAGAATCGATTGAAAACACAATCATTAGCAGTCGCGAAAGAGTACCAGTAGATAGCGATATACCATCTTGATAAAATAGCTGAGCTCACTGTTTTTACCATCTCGTGTTGCCAAGAAACAAGGGGTCGTCTAACAACAAGTTGCAATGCAACCTGAGGAGTCGTTTTCGATAACTTGAAACGTCTAATCTCGAATCTCCTTATCTTATAACAGGAAATGATTTTTGTTTCTCTTCAGACAACACCTTCATACTTTGTCTTTTGATATGGATGAGCCCCGACAAACGTTCAACAAACTCACATTTTTCAGTTGCTGTATTGCCGTCCTTTTGATCTTCGATTGACGACTCCTGTTAAAAAAAAAAAAAGCGAAAATTTTGATCCTTTAAATTCCCTTACTTCGTGTATTTATCTATGTGAAGACTAAAGAATTGATAAAAAAAACTTAAATATCACTTCAAAATTGTAGATATCTGACTGACTTTCAAAGGCCTTACTGAGCTAAAACGAAACACATCTGTCGTGGTCCAGTCAAGATCTAAGACATCCTTTGAGTAAAAGAGTAGGTTTGATGCAAACTTTGAATGCCCCTTCCCTCCCGTGTTAAGGGAGAACTGAGGGGGAAGGGAGAGTAGAAAGAGGAGGGAAAGAAATTCATGGTTAACTCTACACGTGAGACTAACTCCCATTTACACTGCAGGGTGGAGAGAGACAACGCGTAAATGAAATGTCTTGCCAAAAAACACTACAACATGACTTGGCCAGAGCTCGACCCAGGACCTTGTGATTCAGAGTACTGCGTGCTAGACACTCCCAAAGAGAACAAGGAGAAGCTAACATCTGATAGGAGTAAATTCTCACCTGAGTGTAAAGGTGGCGAACATAATCTGCAATGTAATCTTTCAATGCATCGTGGCTTTCCTCCAGCGTAGAACCGAGAGAACTGGCGTCTTCTTCTGTCATCATTTGCGTCATATGACAAAGTGAATTGCAAAGCTGGCAAATAGATTCGTGTCAAAATCAGTATCCTATACTGAGAAAAATATTTCCTTAAAAACCCCCTCCCCCCCTCTGAAGTGTGTGACAAATCAAAGATGAACTCTTTAGGGAGCTCTTAGCCAACACCAGAAGAGCTTAGAACGGTTTCCAATGGATTGAATGCTAGTCTATCACACCCTAAAATATCTACGCCGGATTCCCTCATTCTAGTACCCTTGAGGTAGAGAGGGTCATTTTGGAAGTCGCTGTCTTTTTCAGGAACACACCCTTCTGACCTGAGTGACTCAGACGGCTTGATTTGGAGCCTAGGAGTGATCATCACCGCTCCTGTCTCCAAAGCGAGCCAGAAAAAACCCTTACATACAAAATAATGAAAGGCAAACCACCTGTAAACATTAAATTTCGGGATCAGAAGAGGGTGCCCTGTTAACCCTTACCGCTACCAAGGCTGAGCATGGGGGAATGTCTCCTTACAATCGATACAGTTTTTATCATAGAGGTGTTGAGAAGGAAGAAAAATATCCACTGACTGTTTGATTAACAACTTATTCTCATTGCTAAAATTATCAGAAACGTATAGTAAACAGTATGGAGAATTGTTAAGAATAATCAAATCGTACCTGCTGCCTCAGATGGTCTCTGTATTTGAACTCGCTAAACTCCGTGACCTTCTCAGTGCCTTTCAAGGCGTCAATCAATGTGGCGAAAATTCGACAATACAGAGTCACGCCTCCATAGTAACGCCTTTCTGGGGGAATTGACAAGGGTAGGACGGCATTGATTCGAACCTGGAAATAATCAGACAGAGTTTACTCAAGTCAAAGCACAGACGGTCTGCATCAGGAATTAACGACTACTACTGCGCATAAATATTATTCTGCACTGTTTCAAGCGTTCGTCTGGCTAAGTTTTGCTTCTTTACGTCTTACGAGATCGATCTTAGAAAGTGAAGACATAGATGAGTTACTTTCAACTTCTCGCAATAACAGCTTACAATAGGGTAATTTAGTGTTGACAACTGAGTTGATAACGTAAATTGGCCACCGTAAATAGTTTAAAGGCTAACGTTTGGAGCGATAGCCCTTCGTCAGAGCGATTGGAGGAGGGCTGACGCTCGAAACGTCGGCCTTTAAACATCTTTACGGTGGCCAATTTACGTTATCAACTCAGTTGTCAACACTAAATTACCCTGTTATACTTTCCCACCAACGCAGCACCACAGTTTCAGAAACTTACCCCCTTTACACAGCTTACTATAGCCTCGTCTCGATACAAAATTCCATCGTGAGTTTGCATCATAAAATCCAATTACCACAAGTTACCTTAAAGTTCTTGCAGTCGCGAATTACATTTTCCAAACCAGTGAAAATCTCAGCCTACGTAGATAAAAAAGTACTTTTAATTTTTAGTGTCTAAGCGTAAAAACTAATGGAGGGAGGGAAGTTTTCTAGGGGGGAAGGGTACTTTAGAAAGGTTCAGAGAAAATTGTCAGTCTTTCAAGTAAGTTAACCCAAAGATACGAGAAATACTGGTTCTCCTCAAAGGAGCTACTCCCACTGAGCACACTCTTAAATTTTTATTAAGTTAGCAAATTTCCATCCGTGTTGACCCTCGCCATACTTCGCCCTCCATATTCCCTCTGAGTTTAAAATTGCCTTCATTGTGCTTGCCTTTCTAAACAAACGAACATTTTGTAGTTCTCTTCAACTTGAAAGCAGGTTGTACTTCGTAGAAAATGACACAAAATATAGTGACGTGGCTCCTTTGATAATCACTGAACATTTTTCCATGTCGTGTCATGGTGGATTACGACTAATGATGTCACTGGAAAGATAGTTTTTATTCTCCTTATCTTTTCATCAAGCAATGTATTGAAATTGATAAATTGGTAAAACAAAAGACAGATAATGATATTAAAAAAATACCAACCGTCCAAGGTGCTGTGCCGATCGGCAAGAAAGCATTGCGAAACACATTGCCAATGGCGTAACAAGCATTCCAGCGAACCTAGTAACCAAAGAGAGTTTGAATCAAATATGGTCAAGAAATAAAACAAAAATAACGAAAACAAACCCTAACCTGAAATCCAAAAGCCAAAGAAGTTGTATTTTAACCAAAATGGGATCAACGCTTCTACATCAGGTAGAGAGGGGGGGGGGGGGTGGGGGGTGGGGGGTTAATTGATCGTAGGTTATCCCTATGGTTCATAAGGTTGTCATGACGATTAAGTTAAGGTGCCCCTAGGATCATTCATACTCCCAGAGGGAGACCACAAAACAATAACTACAAGGAGTTGAAGTTTATCCTTCTCATCTGCGTTCCAATCCTTTAAGGAAACGAGATTTTTGTCATCATGACTTAAAATAATTCTGTCAAAGGGCCACCATCGGCACCGTCATCATCATCATCATCATCGAAATCGTCATTATCAACACCATCGCTACTGTTCTCGTTGTCATCATTTCAGCAGGAGACACTGGTACCACTACCATCTCCCCCCTTCTCACCTTCATAAGCCCTGAGCCGACGTTTCTCACCAACGCTTGCACAGCTTTCTCCACCGCCTCAACAAAGCCTGGTTTATCTGAAATGAGAAATCAGATCACCATTGACAACACAAATATTTCAAACGTTTTCTCCACAAAGATTTTTTTCCCTGCAGTATAACACACTTTGCATAATCCAGTCACGGAGTTCAGTCAAGCGTTTTTCGATCGAGTGTCGTTACCATAACCAGTGACCATAAAAAGGCCAATCAGAATAGAGGAAATCATCACAAGTAGCCAATGAGAATTCACAGCAAAAACAAGAAAACTGGCTGAAGCGCGGGAAAACGCGAGTTACCGCGTCGCACTTTTGTTTAATTTTGCACTGATTGGTTTACAAAGTGGTGCAAATTTTCTTGACCAATCACAGAGCGTATTGATTGCGATGGTAAAAACAATGCAATCCCAGAATATTTTTGACAATCGATTGAAGATTTCTCCAAAGTACTTTAAGTAATCTTTTACTCTTACCCAAAGATGACATCCTGATGTAGCGGAGAAAGTTTCCCAGGGCTCTGACCGCGTTGGACTTCACCTGAAACACATTAGAAAATAAAAAAAATCAGGCTAATATGTCACAATGTCTGAATCTTAAAATATTTTCCTTAAATCGTGACTTTTTTTATTGTAGTTGGTTGTTGTAATACAATTTGATCTTCTAAACCGTGTGTTCATCCTTTTATTACACCCATTTTGAAATCACTGATGGTCCCTGTAATCTGATTGGCTCTAATTGGTGCGATTTATTCACAAATTGCACCATTTTTTGCTTTAAATCGCATCTTTTCCCCACCCAGTGAGGAGGCTACACTAAAAACAAAACAACCAATCAGACTTCAAGGCTTGTTTAAAGTAACCGATCATATTGCAGGAAGATGAAAGACATGGAGTATCATATGGCAAATTTTGCAACTTTTGTTTCCAAAACTCTTATTTTTTCCTCCCAAAAAATGGATGAATTTAATTTCAAACCAGCTCAGTATTGTATTAATAAAATATTTGAACTGACCAAGTCCTGTATTTGGGCGATTTCAAAACGGATGTAATAAAGTGGTAATTGAACCTCGTGTTGTGCAATTTTGGTCTGAAATCATACTTGTGATTTCAAATCGAACTCGCGCTGCGCGCTCGTTCAATTTTGGAATCACGCGTATGATTTCAGCCCAAATTGCACTCCACTCAGTTCAATTACCATTATAAATACTCACCTTTTCGTTATCATCCGCCGCTGTAATAGAAGTATTCAACAGCTTCAATAGCAACATGTCTGAAAAATCTTCCATAAAACCGGTGTCTCCACAAGACCTGAAAAATAAAATGTAACGCAATAAACGTAATGTAGCGCAACGCAACAATTCGTGCTACATAACAAGTATATCCTGTCAAAAGACAAATTGTACCGATTTGAAAACTCTGAGCAGGGGCCACAAACATGGTCGGACCTAGATTTACAAGTATACATCAAAACCAGACAGCAGCTTTCCGTTTTACTTACATATTGGTTACCAGAGAGTCACTGAGATTAGCCAGCGACCAGGCTGCCTTCATCCGTACCATTATCTTAGGATCAGCCATGGCTGTGAGCATGGCATTAGCCGTGTCTGCTACAAACAGCACATCATCTCTCAGGCAAGGGTACAGAACAAACACACCCAGGGCACGTACTGATGAGGCCTTAGACATGAGATAAACGGCGAGGAAGTCAGTACAGGTTGAAGGTGTTTATTTTACCTCTAGTTATGAAGAAATGAATGATTTTAAGCTCAAACTGCGCAAGGGCAAAAGAACAGCGTATGTGGCCTTCGTTCAAAGAGAATGGCGTAGAGGGGATTGCAATTCATAACTCTTCTCCTTCACCCCACCCCTTCCCCACCTTACACGCAGGCCACGTAGACTCGGTGAAAGTACAAATCAAAGCATGCCGGAAAAAAATATGGTACAAATCAAACAGTACCAAAATTTAAATTTAAAAGAGCTCTTAGCTCTGGTGGAAAACTTGGAGTGCGTCAGATTATCTTATCAAATGCAAGACGGTAGAACGACGGAATCACCGCATCCATGTTTACGATACGTTGCTAAGCTACTGTTTCTTGCGTAATCTTACATTTTGCAGGTTACGTAATTGCAAGCACAGAGGATTCCTAACCGAAAAAAAAAACTTCAGTGGGGATTTTCTAACCTTCTGTAACTAGATACGAGGAGGTTGCCACTACTTTCACCATTTAGCCACTAAGCTACTTGGTCTGTTTCAAACTCTTTAACTCTTTAACTCCCAAGATCTGATTGTTAATTCTCCCCTCTAGCTGCTACACAGTTCCTTGTAATTTAGTCACGAGAATTTAGCGTTATAAGTTTAAGTTTTCTTATCACCTTTTTGCTGGATAATGTATGGATATTTTTGGGAGAGGTTGCAAGTTAATCACTTCTGGGAGTTTAAGGTTAAACTCTTTGCTTTTTAAGTTTCAAACAGTTTCAAACCTTGGGTAAACAATAAGGGAAGCTAGATTTTTATATTTCACCTTTACATTCTTGTCTTCATCATTGGACAAACCAAGTAGTAGGGTAATGCAAAGAATACGCTTGTGTACCTGGAAATAAACAAGAGATCAGGGAATAAATGCACTTTAAAAATGGTACGAGTCTTAACGCTTTCACGCTAAGAGATACAAAGTCACCAGAAATGGCCACCTGCTAAATCTGCCTACGAGAATCGCTTTTCGACCTGGATGGGAGTGCCAGTCCCATCGAAAGCTACCCTCCCCCCAGGCCCCAAAAATTTCGACAGGTTCCCTGTTATATGGCCGTTACCCATCTACCCCCTTGGGTGTAAAGAGGCTCATAGAGAGTAAAATATCTTGTACACCATTCATTCTGTAATGAAAGGGGTATAGTCCTGATATTCGAACCTGTCCGTGAAAAGATAACTGGTGTGAAGAGGGGGTAAACAACAGTGCTTGACCAGAGAAAGAAGCCAGTTTTAGTGTCAATTATCTTGAGTTGGAAAAACCTAGGCTAAAGAACTAGGGATTCTATGATTTCTATTACATTACTATCAGAGTAAACGCACGGGAAGTTCGTTAAAGATGACAGCTCCAATGTTGGACAGGCAGTCAACTGCAGCACTACATGAAGGAGCACACACAGAGCTTCCCTCTTGTATCACAGTGATCAGAGGACCGTCCATTAACTTGAGCCAGAATTGTAAAATCTAAAGAAATAAAATAAAACTAATTAATTTACCGAAAATACGATTATACAACTGAGAGAGGAAGAACAACAAACACAATTACTAGAAATACTATTTGGAAGAGTTGTCGGAGAGAAAAGAGACAACAAGTGAAAACTGTAAGGTAAACTCAAGAATGGAGTCATGAATCGGTAAAAATTACTGATAACGAAAAACTCTGCATTCAAGTCAAGTAGCCCTACTCTCTGTAAGATAAAGCGACGGGACCTTAGTCCGTCACAGGCTACCCCATTGGCATTCCGTCAGGTTTCCCTTTCAGTTCGCAGGGTAGCCATTCACATTCTAGAGTAGCGAGAGGCACTGGCGTTACGAGACTTGCGCATTAACACAACACAATGACCCCGCCAGTAGGACTCAAATCTGGACACCTTGCCCTGTGCTCGAGTGCACGAACCATAAGGTCACTGCGCCTCGATCCAAACTATATGAGAACTACAATGGAAGTTTTTTAAAAGCTAACAAATTATACCAATCCTCATTTTAACACAATGGCTGTATACTTTAATTTTAATACATTCATGGGGTTAACAACTGAGCTAACCTGTTCTTTAGAAACTGCACTCCTATCAGCATGGCTTGAAAAGTCAGCATACATCGCCCGCGCGATTTCCTCTAGAAACTGAAGGGTAAAAGAACCATTGAATCGTTTTTGATGAGCAATAATGAACACATAGAGCTGCAAATTCGCAACTAACCCTCGCAGAAGCATTAAAACGCATGACTTCATGAACGCATGATCAAAAACAGGGAAACGCGTAAGTGTAACAGTTCTTATAAGCTTCTAATTCTGCCGGACTTTTGGTTTTTTGCTACACACTACTGTATTGTTGTGAATCCTGGAGAGGTTCGCAATAACAAACGCGTCGACGCCTCTACTCAAGGGATGTAGAATTTACTCCCAGCAGAAAAAACGCTCCTATATTGAAGGGAAACCTCTGTTGGGAGTACACTTTTCCTAGTCTTAACTCTTTACACCCTGACATCAGTATGTAAGTTCTCCATACTGTTCTGTATACATTCCTATGTACTTACAAGGAGAATTTGTTGAACAATACAGAACTTCTTGAGTTCGCGATCAGTTCCTTTATTCTCATGACCTTAATATTTGATCTAGGGGGTGATACTGGTGGGAGAAATTAGACTCTTATCACCCTCAGGGGTAGAAGGGTTGAACATGTTCCATAAACGGAGGTTTCATTGTAGTAAGCGCTTTGTCCTGATATCTCAAAGGACCTGAGAACCCGCTTAAAAAGTGCTCACAATCGACAAAATTATATCACCTTCATAGCAGACAGTGTAAATGGTACATCCACATCCTTTAAACATGAACATGCCAGACTCCTGAGACACTCTACCACACTGGAACTGCAACGAAAAAAATCACATCGTAGTTGGCGTAGTTACCCAGGAAGGCAGAGTTAAAAATCCGTCAACCACAAGGTTTGATATATTGCCAATATTTTGTTGATATACCTCATATTAATCGTTTACTGTGTTAAAACACGGCTTATTTACTGCCTTCTCCAGGTTACTTGAACAAGTCCAAATTTCGCAAAAGAACGGTTTGAAATTCCTCACCCTAGTTAAGAGGAGGAGGGTGGGGGGAGGGGAGGGGAGGGAAGGTACACGAACGAGGCTCCGGTAATTCCCTCTCCACCCTCTGGTACGCCCGTGAGTACAATTACCTGAGTAAGAAGACATAGCTCTTCACAAAGGATCCCATGAACTGCAAGGCTTCCAATCGCACCACCAATGAATTTTCCCTCCTATTTATAGTATTAACACACCAGTTTATGAGCCATGGAGACTCAAGTGGAACCTGTAAATCAGGTTTCACATAAACTGAACTCATGTCATGGGCAGAACTACTGTTGTTTCCAGATACAGTCCTATTCCCTGTGCTGATTTCCTCCGAGGTTGGCCTCATAATTTCAACCACTTCTTGTAGTGGGGTGTGCACACACACAACCATTCTTAGACAAGATAACACTGCTGTTTGTAGGTTTGGATCTGAGTATTAAACAAGTAGAGAAAGAAAGTCACTGATTAAAATGTTCATTTTATTGTGGACCACAATGAGTTTGCAATACTACGCTCTGAGATTGGTTAAGAAAACTGTTGCTACACTCTCAAAAAATCCTATTCGGTCACTCGCGTTTTCCGCGTGTGAGATTCAGTGCACGTATCGACCTTGAATTCTGATTGGCTCCTTGTGCTCTATACCAAAGTTCTGATTGGCTCCTTGTGCTCTATACCTAAGTTCTGATCGGCTCCTTGTGCTTTACACCTAAGTTCTGATTGGCTCCTCGTGCTCTATACCTAAGTTCTGATTGGCTCCTCGTGCTTACCATAGGTTTTTCCGACCCCATTCCTGTAATCTATTCTTTGAAAAAAGGTATTTAAAGCTTTTTTAAACTTTTTTTTTTTTTAAAAGCTCACTCAACAAATCGACCTAAATCTCTCGTTTAAAGAAGGTTCTCACAGTACGCTTATTTTTTTCAGTCGAGAATCCTTTCAATATAAGCATACCTTTAAGGAAAAGTAAAGGCCGAAGTTGTCTGACAACTTTGGTGACTAGTCCTTCCTTTAATCTGTTGTATGGCGAGTTCAGCACTAGAAGGGACAGGCACTAAAAATTCAAAGAAGAAGAGCTGGTAAGGACAACAACTTTTAAAAATCACACTAAAAGTATGATGCAGACCTTAAAATAAGGTGTGGCGCTCATTTTAAAAAAGGTAAATTACACAATGAACGATGTTTTTCACGACCACTTAGTCACTTGCGTTTTCCCGCGCTCTAAGCACTGCTCGTTTTTACTTTGAGTTCTTATTGGCCCTTAAAATATATTCCTCCGTTCTGATTGGCTATTGAGATTACATTGCTTTTGATCTGACAACACTCAGTCAAAGTGTACAGTCTTAAAGACAAAAAATACTTGTTAATTGTAAAACTTTACCTTTAGTATCTGGGCCTTAGTAGTAGCTGATGTTTCTGCGACTAAAGCTTGCAGCAGACATCTGTGAAGTTCATGAACAATTCCGCTCAGTTTCGCAGAGAATGAAGTGTAAGGTCGCGATGACGGTGAACTACTATGCTGCTCTCTGAAAGTAAAGAATAATAATAATAACTGTTTGATGATTTTCATTCAGTAGTTTTATGATTGTCAAAAATAAAAACAAAATCCTTAAACAAATTGCAAACTGCCAAAGGTTCATCTAGTAGTTGAAAGTCACAATTTCAACAACATCTGTTTTGAAGGCCTAGATTCTTTAATATTCTTAGCTCTGAAAATCACCTCTTTCACTTTGAAACTTAAAGTATTCCCCTCGTATAGACATTCTAAATGTACGAAAACCTGTGATTGTTTGTTCGTTTTTTAGTTACAATGTATTTCGTTTTGTTTATTTTTAGCCTAATTATGCATTAAACATTTATGTTATTTAAATCAACATCTTTAATCTTGAACTTGAAAAATTAAGAACTCTGCAGAAAGACAGCAGATGACACAGAGAAACATTCTAGGAATGAAATAGTTATGTACCGTTCTTCAGCAGCCACCAAGAATTGTCTTGAACCATCCAATAAGTCCATGAGGACAGTTACACCTGCAGCTCGGCCCTGAAAAAGATCAATTAACAGTGTCAACATCACAACAATTTTAAAGCCAAAAATTCATCTGACCTGCTCAAGGGTCATTTATGTAAGTCCGACAATCCAGTCAGACAAAAACAAAGTTTAAAAAAAGTATTATGTTCACCACAATCCAATCTTGTCCCAGTTATTATAAAATTATTTTAAAGAATCATGTTGAACATTCGTCACATGCATTTGACAAAAACATACATCTGAGTCCCTTCTTAAAATTCAAATCTCTAACAATCTGATATTATGCACAGCTGCTCCATCGACTTAGTGACAGAGAACTCATTATTGAGCCAGGCTACATTCTATACCTTGTAAAAAATTTTGTTAAAAAATCCAAACATCCTCAGCTTTAGCTACATTCATACAGTCATGATTACTTTTTCTTCTGTGGTTTCATGACTTTATTACCATCATCACTATCCTTGTAATCCTCATCAACAACAACACTAAAACAAAACAGATTGAGATTATGCATCCCACACTGCTATAGTGTCTTACTACTTTATAGAAAATATGCCCACCTTTGGAGTGGGATCCTTCAGAATTATTGTGAAAAGGGACCATGATGCTGACATTGTATTATCAGGAATGAATGAGGACCAGTATCCAAACAGAACCTTTTTGTCTGTGCTCTGAAAAACCAAAATATTCTTGAGAATCATGAAGATTTTTGCTCAGAGTAGTCTTGGACTCTCTTTGTTTTGTTTTATTTTGTTTTGTTTTTTAAAATAATAATAATGCATTGGGCTCAAGGAAAATCTCTGATCATCTTTTGACCTTTTGATTCCCTGCCATGATGTTGAATTCTTCCAACAATTTCACTACACTGTCACAAAGAAAACAAATATCACAGGAGAGTGACCAAAATCCAATTGGTTTTACTGCTGAATTTGATTGGTTGATAAAGGGGTGCAATCACACTATGAGATTTAATCAGCCTTGGATTACAATGAACACTCAATTTAAAATTATTCCAATCTATATTACAATAAAAAACAGATACAAAGACATATTGATACATATGGTGCTTACTTTAATCACAGCCTGAAGACAAAGAAGAACATTCAGCCGAACTTTCAATGTTATAGACCTGAAAAATGCTCTTGTTAGAAAAAACTATTCACTGGGCAATTGAGTTTAATTTTGTGAACAGAGGTTCCTGTGGCATTTTATCTCTTTAATATTTCATTTCCCAATCAAGATCCTTTGGAAAAGTAGGTCTCAATACAAGTCTATCATCCACAGCTGCAGGAGTTTATCCCTGTTTGTCTGTTTCTGTAGCATGGAGTGAGTGCTATTATTGTAGCTCAAACTGAAAGAAAGGCAAGTTAGTACCCACCCCCCCCCCAGCAGTTCTCTGGTACTCATTTATACCCTAAGGAGATATGCACTGTGAGAACAAAGTGTCTTTCCCAACAGCACACCCTGAGCTGGGTGCAAACCAAGACCTTTTGATCTCAAGTACAATAGGCAGGCAACCATACCTTGTACATGTACAATCAAAAACATTTTGTGAAGTTAGCAGTACCTTAGCCTTGCTGTCTGTCCTGCCTCACTATCAGAATATTCTGAGTCAGAACTTGCATTGGACAAGCTTGATGCACTGTGATAGCCTGATGATTCTGCACCTGATCTATCAAGAGTGTTCATATTCATAGCTGCACTGTCTTTCTTTTGAGTAAAATTATTACTTCTGGAATAATGTGTAGTGTGTCTTTGCATATTTCTGGGTCTGAGACTAATGCACTGGTCCTCCTGGTGTCCAGCCTCTTTACTCAAACTATAATGTAAATTCATTGCTGCAAATGTTTGTGTTGGCGCTTCTGTTGAAAGGCTACCAACAGATGTTTGCTTGGGTGCCACAGGTGAGGCAGTTTGTTTCGATTTTTTGTTGTTGGAGCGTCTCTTTTTCTTCTTGCTAAGGGCAGAGTAGGTACGATCTTTTTGGGGTATTGTGTCTAAATGAACTGAAGATAAATCATCTGGCTCAATCCCTGTAGAGAGAAGAACAAATCAGAGCAAGGTTGCACCCAAGATGTAATTCCATAACTTCAGAGTCCAGCTACCCTTAGAAGGGTACTTTTTCCTCACTTAGTTGGAGAGTGTAGTACTATCATCTCATCTGAAAAATGTTGTCTAACAAAGGTTTGGAAGCATACTTGTTAGAGCTGGACGGCTCTTGGGGCATTGGCTATTTCTTAATCAAAGTTTACAATGATCCTTTCCTCTGAAGAAGGGAACCTATGCATGTACTAATTCAACCTTACTCCCTTTACTTCATTTGGCAATTAGATTTATTTATTAATCAAGTAATGGTTAACTATCAATACAAATAAATAAAGCTACAGAGAGCTATTTGCCACCACTGCACGCCCATGGAAAATTTTGTAGAAATCACAATTAGACAACATGCAAAATTTTCTAGCCCAAGTTTTCTGAATTGTAGCTCTGTCATTTCTTTTGGTTTTGCTTCCATGCATCAAATATCGCAAAGCAGTGGAGAAAACCTTAAGCAAACCCATACTTCCTCTGAGTGTTCAACGAGTCAGTTTCCAGAGTAACAAAATTGAACTAAGGGGATGACTGACCCACTGTAGTCCTGCCATAACAGTTCTTTGCCAGCATATCTATAGTTCCTGTCAGGCACTCACAGCTTCTATATCCCTGCTCTGCTATGCTCTGTTTCAGCTCATCTACCCCCACAGAGAAAGTTTAAGATGTCCAAGGAAAAACCACTGACATTTATCCTTACCCTTCTATACAATTTCTGTTTCAAGAAAACAGTGTGCCTACATACATACTTTCATGGACACTAGAATGGCAAGGGCTCTATGTAACTAAGTACAGTAAGTGCTTTCCTCAAAGAGAAATTTCAGCTATGATACCTGGTTGATCCTCTGGTTGCTGGTTCCTCTTCTCAGCATACACTGGTTTGTAGCCAGGCAAGCCACAAAACATGTAGTTCTACAAAAATAGTATAGAAGAATTTTAATTCAAAAATAGTAGAACTACACTCAGGGCCATTATGAGGCCAGAAAAAATATATGAGCACATTGAAAGAACTTATGCAATATCTAGAAACTTTTACCATGTGCTTCAGCTCAATGAGATTGTATGGAGTATTATAATTTTATCTCTCAGTTGCCACATGTGCTATGACTGGTCAATTTAGCAGGCTGTATTTCACTGTAGGGCCCACTACATTCAAAAGTTTGTTTGAATTGAAATCTTACCCCTCTATTTGAACCCAGAGATAAACTAAATATCTTACTATCCTCATTTTCTTGATCTTTACTAAAAGTAATGCAACCTTGTTTTTTCCACTCACATGGGCCACAACCAAGCAGGAATACTTGATCCACAACTTAAAGTGCAGACCCCTAACTTGGTTAGTAAGAGGTCTTTAAGTAAAGTAGCCATTTTTATGAGTCAGAGTTTACCTTAAGAGCTGCCAAGAGAGGTCCAAGATCATAACTCTGATTTGAACACCCGAGAACAAGAACATTTAACAAAGCACGCAAAACTGCATTGATGACCTAAAAGTAAGATAATGGGAGGAATTTATGGTTTGAAGGTGAGAATGAGTCCAATAGGACTCTGTGTCTGATCATGTATCACCTGTAGTTAAAAATTCTAAAAACATGTATCAACCATTTACACCCTTAAATCAGTATGTATATTCTTCATACTGTTCTCATGGAGCCGACAACGAGAATTTTTTTAACTTTTGAGAGCTTCTTAGGTTGGTGATCATTTCTTTCATTCTCATGACCTTAATGTGTGATTCAGGGGTGATATTGTAAGGAGAAATTAGAGGCTAGTCACTCTTAGGGGTCAAAATGTCGAATATTCATTTGGTCATGTCATAGGCACTGTAGCTTTTTTCTTACTAACAAGTCTATATATTGGTATCAAAACAATAATTTTTGGTGTACAAAATGACATTGATCTTCAATAGAAAAAAAACTAACACTAACCCTAAAATGTTCAATCTCTGTTTTACATGAGTTTGGGTTGGTAGTTTGCAGAAGATCCAGAAGAAGATTGAATGCTTGTGCAATGAATTTATCATCCAAATGTAATCCATTTGATGACCTAGTGTTTAAAACAAAATCACATAAAAGCTGGAGATTACAATTACTTTTATATGAGAATGGTTCAAGGGAACAGTGGTATCCATACTAAGCCAACAAACTTCAGACTACTAGTCTAGATGCTCTATTGGTAAGCCTCAGGAGATTGGCAATAGTAAGACCATTAAAAATCATGGAAAACACCAATCAATTTAAATGCCAAGTACACGTATGAAGCTGACAGCGAATAATTTCCAAAAATCTGCAGCAAACTTTTGTAAAAGTATGTCAGTTACTTGCCACTAAAGTTCCACACAAGTTTCTTTACCAGCCGAGTTACACTCAAGCATTTCATGATTGAAGTAAAGGGTGTTTGATAGGCATGGGAAATCAGACAATTCAATGACCTTCAGGACTCCTTTTTTATTCAAACATGAAGAATATTCTCCCATAACTCAACACAATTCTCCTACTACTACATTTCTTGACCCTTTAATGTCTAGAGGTGATTAACAAGTACTTTCTCCTCATGATTCATATATGATATTTAGCTAACAGGTTATGAGAATTGAAAAGTTTGTCATCTTGACCATGTCATCTTGATAAAAGACAAAATTTCCTGTCTAATTCTCAAAGAAATGCATGGCAGTCAGAAGGAAGTTAGTTAGATCTTGGGAATTAAAGGGTTAATGAATACCCTTGAGATACCATCATTCTACTTAACAAGTCGAAAGTGGTTTAGTGTGGTCTGTACAATGGTCAAAATGTTGCGGGCTCACAAGGTGAGTGAGTCCTCAACAAATTTTGACCACTGTGATGACTAAATATTGTTGTCAATAAGAGTGCAGACCATGCTTAATCACTATTGATTTGTTTTTTACCAAATATTGACGTCAAAATTTCCAAGTCATCCATGCTTGAGAGCTGATAAAGGCATTGCATGACACATTAATGCAAGCAGTGTTGTCTATACTCTTATAAACAGGGTCATATTGACCAATCAAATTGCAATGTCAGTGCCATTATTGTGATAAGATAGCCCTTTCCCAGTGCAGATTAGTTCATCTTTTTGTATAGTGAATAAAAATTAACCAATCAGGATGAAATACCTCATGCATATATTAGCCACACATTGGATAGTACTACAGAGAACATCGGTTTCCTGTGACTTGTCCCTGCACAGGTCCACCAGCACCCCACCTTTACCTAACAGTCTATCACCAAACTAAAACAGAGATGAAATTTTCAGTATAAACTTTGAACTTATATTTCAAACCCTTAGGTAACAATTTAAGGTATGCCCACATGTCCTGAATTTTATTGTGCATGGAAAGTATACAATTGACCAATCCAACCTACAACTCACTTTTACTACAATTTTATCTCTTTTCCTCTTGTTAAGTTAACCTATTCACCCCTCCCCTCCCCTCCCTCAAAAGCAATGTTGTATCATGATTCCATGAACCTTTAGGCAACATTGAATGAGGAAGGGGAACCTTGTCAATGATTTAGAGGGTGGTAGAGACAGGATTGTTATTCTACTCATAAATAGGACTCTTCAAACAGGATCTGTCAACTAATTTTGATACTGATTGTAGGTTTTCTGGGTTTTCCAACAAAAGTAAATCAAAAATTACAAATTATGCTCGAAAAGTGTCACATGATTTTGCTCAAATGATTTCCATTGCAGTCCAACTCTAAGGGTAATGAAAGCTAGGTTAAGAGTAAAACAAACCTAAAACACAATGACGTTTGCCCCTTACCTTGACACACATAAAAATCAATAAGTTATTTCATTTCTTCACCCATACATTTATCAAATACCTGTTCACAGAGTGACCCATTTTCATAAAGAGTAGATCCTAAAGCTCGTAAAATGTTCAGTACTGTCCACTTTTTACAAATCTTGATGCAGTTAATAAGGAAGCTGGTGAGATGATTCAGTGTTTCTTGATTGAGGCCAACCTGTAATTCAAAGTCAAGATCAATGTAACCACACAGAAGAAATAAACACGAAAAAAATCAATACAGGACTGTATACTGAGGTGGACCAGTGGGTTTACATGAACCTCCTATCATTTAACTCTTTAAATCCCAAGAGTGACCAAGAAAGAATTTCTCCTTAAAGTATCAATACATTATCAAGCAGACAGTCGGTGAGAATAAAGAAGAATACCGATCAGGGGATTATTAGTTGATCGTACACAAAATTCTCAGAACTAACATCATATGAATTGTATGATAGACAGTAAGGAGAATTACTGATGAGATCCTAGGAGTAAAAGGGTCAAAGGAGTATATCAGATCACGCTTGCAGATTTCCTCATACACCACTTCATTTGTAGTAGCTTTTGATTTCAAATTACTGAATTCATGCACTATAAAAGCAATTACTTAGGGTTAGAGTTAGACACTTAGAAAACTAGAAAGTTGCTCCTACTGAAAATATGAAAATACTACATGTAAAGTGTTAAGAGCTGAGCACTAGAAATATCAGTTAACAGATCAAAATGACTCTCTTTGGTGAATTACACTTTGGGTAGAAAATTAAATACCTTTTGTTTTGCCAGCAGATTCACAATCAGTTGACAGAACTTTGTGCTGAGAAAGTCATCATTTCCACCTGACTGTATAAGTGTACAACATTTACACAGTACTTGTAAAGCACTCTGGAAATAACAAAAGTTTTATCATAAAAATTAAACTAAACTATCCAACTAAAAAGGTTCAAAGGGAAAGTCTGTTCTCCAGTCAACTGCCTCATCAAGCCACTGAGCTTCTCCCAATTTCTGTGGTATAAAGTGGCTAGGAGTTTTGCTACCACGTATGGATGGAATGCCAGTCCATCATAGATTAGCCAAACCCCCTCCCCTCCCTCCCAAAAATTTAGTCCAGTTTCTCTGACTAGCCATATACCAGAACTCATTTTTATCCCTAGGGGAAGAGAGGCACAGTCAAGTTAAGTCTCTTTCCCCAAGAACACAACACACCAACTGTATTAGGTTGTCATCCTAGGCCTCTCAGCCAGCAATCCAATGAACTTGCCTCTACCCCACCACATCCCTGATCCAATGACAGAAATAAAAATGCTGGTAAACAATTTGCCAACTTTTTAAGGCCTTCTGCATCCAAGCATCAGATCACACAGACACCACGGGGATCAATCTGATCTAATTTTTAACAATGGAGAAGCTCTAAGCAACCCAAAAGTACTCTAAAAAATGGGTGTAATGAGAAAAACCGATGTCAGCTGCTGTCCCGCATCATTCTACATATTCAATTGCTTGTGAAATGCCTTACACATACCTTTTAGGAGGCAAATCAAGAGATTTCCGCGTATCTTTTGATGCCTCTTAAAGAATAATTCATCATTATTTTCTCTTAATATTGCTTGATATTTATGAACCAATTAGTGGTATATATAATTATATATATACCAATACAAATAAAATACCAATGAGAAAACGACTCACCTCTTCATTGTCCACCACACTTGTTGCATAATCCAAAGAATTCAGTTCGTCCAGTATAACGTTAAGGTTTGAGTTAAATGGTCCGTCAGAGGACGACTCCTGCAGTATTAAAATCCTACGAGCCGCGTCTTTCCAGCACAGTTTGTCATCTTCATAAGACATTTCAGCTATTCCTCGCGTTGGAAACTCATAACATCAATTTGTATATATTTTTAGTGATATTTCTTCTGTAAAAAAAATGAAATCGATCGCCTTTGAGCCTTGTTTACGTGCTTAGTTCCGAAATAAATATTATTGTTCAATCTTTCCCGTACTGGCCGCCATGTTACTTTTTCACGAACACCCACTGACCAAGGTATCACTGTTTCATTGGGACTACTGTTTGGGCAAGGGGCGGGGAAAGGGGTGTATACTGGGCTATATTGTTGTTTCAATTTGTAGAACTGTTATGTAAGACATATCACTGTGTTGACTAGTAAGATACAACTATCTACACTGTCTACAGTAGGTACATCCATCTACACTGACTACAGTAGGTACATCCATCTACACTGTCTACAGTAGATACAACTATCTACACTGTCTACAGAAGGTACAACTATCTACACTGTCTACAGAAGGTACAACTATCTACACTGTCTACAGAAGGTACAACTATCTACACTGCCTACAGTAGGTACATCCATCTACACTGTCTACAGTAGATACAACTATCTACACTGTCTACAGAAGGTACAACTATCTACACTGTCTACAGAAGGTACAGCTATCTACATTCTCAACAGTAGGTACAACTATCTACACTGTCTACAGTAGGTACAACTATCTACACTGTCTTCAGTAGGTACAACTATCTACACTGTCAACAGTAGGTACAACTATCTACAGTGTCTACAGTAGGTACAAGTATCTACACTGTCTTCAGTAGGTACATCTATCCACACTGTCAACAGTAAGTACAGCTATCTACACTGTCTACAGTAGGCACAGTTTTCTACACTGAGTAGCATAGGTACAACCATCTACACTGTGTACAGTAAAACTGTCTCGCGACCGCGACCTCGATGACCTCTCTTGCACTCGTTGCGCGCCTACGATTGCCATCGTAGGCGACCAACGACCATCTCGACCATCTCGAAACTGCATATTATGTTAGCATAAATTCTTGGTGTAGTGAGTTTTAAAATACCAATTTGGGGGGGAGGGTGAGGAGCTTTGTGTTACTGAGAGCTCAATCAAACGTTTCCGGTCAAGAATAAAAGAAATAAGTCAAACAAAGAACTGACAAAAGCGATCTACACGAGGAATATTAGCATATGTTGTAATGGCTGACGACTTCGTTTGCTGAAGCTCGTTAATGTGATTCCTCAGTATTGAATTGCACAGTATTGCAGTAAAAGATATATGTGCCATCAACACTTTTGAAAAATTGCTTAACATTTTATTTAGCGAAGTATACTGTTGACATTTCGGCTTTAGAAGACTATTGTTTTCCGCAACTATAACTGATATGTCTCTATATGAGCTATTAAAACAGGGCTATACACAGCTATACAGGGCTATACACAGCTGTACAGGGTATTGTATGTAAAGTATAGGACATAATATGTATTAGTACATAATATGCGCCCATACATGACGTACCTACCTATTAAATTTGTTTACCCGCTGACCACTCGTATTTCGGTCTTTTCTTCGTCCCCCACTCTTCGCCCGTGATGTAGTAACTCCCCATCAGGCCTCGCTACTCTCTCCATAATGGCGTTTAATATCTGCGAAAAAGCCGATTTGAAAGTTTTATTTAAACTGTTTGGGAATACCCTCTTACGTTTTGTATCCCTTGAGAATTTTACGAAGGCCACAACTTTCAGCAATTCAAATCTCATCGGGAAATTTTATGTTAATGACAACAAGGAAAAGGTATTAACTCTTTCGCTTTCTGAGGTCGCGTGCTCCAGTCACTTTGCAACAGCACCCTGCCAATTGCAAACATTGTGCTTTCATCAGCAAGATGACTAATCAGTATATAAATCGTAGTGTACACTAGTTGCTAAAAGAGAGGAGGTCTTCTGGATATTCACAAACGCAAATTACCAAGCGAGCTTCAAATATTATCGTTGAGCGTTTTGTGCACTTCACTTGGAAAAAACTCAGTATTCCCTTCCAAATTTGAAATGCTTAACTTCTTTGAAGGATCGGTTTACCGAGAAGAACCTACCAGTTTGCATCCGAAGTAGTCAATCGATGGCAATCGATGATTGAAAATCCAATCTAACAATCGAAAATCAGTCGATAATAGTCATGAATCGTATGGTGCAGAGTAGAAATCAATCTGACAGATAAAACTGAATGATGTTTGGTTTTATTACATTCATTTTTTTTCTTTCATTAACCATACAGATCTGGGTATCGACTGTGGAGTTATTTAGTAACGTACAGAACGCCTTTGAAAACCCAGATGACCTTGACGAAGAAGCTAAAATGGCACTTACACGCCTTTTAGATATGCAAGCCTCAAGTGAGAACCTCCTGAAGGCATTGAAAGTCCCTCGGGAGACAGAATCAGAGTTTAATGTGTTTTTCGCTTCTAAAGTCCTTCAGCCACTTACAGGTGGCGTGTGTATAATTAACAGTGTCGAGTAAAAGACCGCGATTACAAACAATGATGTAAAACTGCCAGCTGACTTGAACTTAACAGGAATAACAATGGGTATGGTATTATTGTTGTATTTTTTGTAGTATCTTTGTTTCTATACCTACTCTTTTTAGTTAACTTCCTGATTTCCGTAAACTTGTATACCTACTCTCTCTATTTAATTTCCTGATTTCTGTAAACTTGTATACTTACCTTTTTTATAGTTAAGACATGACCCACCTAGATTAGCTAGCTACCTGTGGGCATGTCCAATTTGTTAAAATAGTTATTAGAAAATAAAGAAATGTATGTATGTATGTATGTATGTATGTATGTTTGAGGTATAACCAGACTACAGCCAAGCATAGGAGCTACTGGTAATGAATTTCCCAACTGCCTGTTACTTTCTACCCTGGATCCAAAGGGGGCTAATAACTCCCAAAGCGACTTTAACGGACCTAAAGGCCTCAGTTACTGAAACAACCCGACGAAGGTAGCCCCCTCTAGACACCCGAGTTAAAAATTTCCACTTTTTCAGGAAAATTGAATCACTCTCACCATCAGAAAGAATTGCTCTGATTGGTCGCATTGATCACGCATCACAAACTGGTTTTTTTTACAAGTTTAGCAAGAGCATAAAATGGGCGAGCTGATTGGCTGTGCTAGAGAAGCCATTTCGATGTTATGCAGATCGGGGATTAATTTTCGGAAAAGCGCCAACAAAGTGTATTGCTAATTCTTTAAAATCCTAAAACCTCTGGTAGCCAGGGTAGTTACTTTCATTCACAAAGAGTCATAGAACACATTTTGGCAACACCAAGCTGTGAAAATTTTGACTGCAGATTTGAATTCTTGGGTTTTGCAGATTTGAATCGGGTTTTGCTCATTCTTACAGGTTATGCTGATGGCTTTTATGGTGAGCCAGATATTCTTGCTTGCCCAAAGGAACAGTCTCAAAATGTAGAAAGACCAGGAGCAGGTATGTTGTGGTACAAATTTTCCTGTTCAAGAAGAGGATGAATGACGTCCCTGTTCGCTAATAAAATTCACCACAGTGGGGAAAGCAGCTGTTTGTAATGTCACCTGCATGTACGTGCCATTGCAATACATATCAGTCTAATATTATTCTTATTCAATATTTTTGCCATAAGTTATAAAAGGGACCTCATAGTTTTAGCATCTACGATGTAAGTAGAGGTAAAAAAAGTACCTTTGATATTAACAGTCGCTATTTCATAGATTATTCCAATGCAGTTTGGTGTCAATTCCAAACAATGGTCACTTTCAATTTCAACTTTGTACATTGGCACAACATTTGATGCTTTTGTCTGCTCTGTATAGATCAGAACATTTATCTACATGACTGCAAGAAGTACACACCACCCAAATATTTTTTGAGTGGGCCAGTCATGGTAGCCTGCGTAGCAAGTGTTTCCCTGGAGCTTTAGCGCTCAGAGAAACCCGAGTTTGTGGCCACATGGGAAATAAGGGCAAGCAAAAAATGAAGAGAGGGGAAGGGGTAGGGGTAAGAAGGAAACGCTCCATAAGCAGGTAAGTATGACCATTGCGTCAGAGCAAAATCAACTGTATTAATGGGGTAAATCTAAAAGCAAACTGAGGCTCATAGCAAGAACAATCTTTCTTGCTACAAACTGGCCCCACTCCTGTGACTGCAGCTGGCATATCGTACTATTATAATTCTGGAACCATTACAATTTCTATGGTACACCATGTAACCCCTTAATGTATAAAGCTCTCTTGTCACATACAGTAGTTGTGCATATATTTAATGTTGTTCTCCCCTTTTTGCAGTTGCCATTCAGTCATTATCTGATGTTGAAGAGACTGATGAAACAGGTATATTATAGTTTCTAGTCCTTGTTGTCGCAGTGCCGTTCAAAGCATCCTGGCCTGATCCCAGAGTAATTCAGGGAATGGACTAAAGGATTGAGGATTTTTGTTACTATTCCCTCGGTGTTGTTATGTGAAATTATTGTCTGCGGTATAAAACACATGATGACAAACAACAACCAACAAACAACCCTTGTCAATCAAATGGTGTGACATCATCGATCATGTGACTTGTATCAAAGACCTTGAATATCCCATGCATAATAAACAACAAACAACCCTTGTCAACCAAATCTTGATCGTGTTACATAACTCAATCAACGGCATGATTCTCTTGAAATGCTTTTAAATACAACACGTTTAAGGTATACCAGAAAATAACCCATCACGTTGTGATGGACAAAACCTTTTTGGGGGTAGAATAACAGCAACTTAGAGGAAAATACATTTACATGTCTAATTTGTTTATACATCTCCTGCAATATGATGCTATGTGCAAACAACAGATCACACCTAACACCTAATGTTCTAGTAAAAGTTTAACAGAACAGATATACTATAACAGATATACGTGATCTTTGAAGTCACACAATTTGATTGACAAGTGTTTGTCACCATATGTTGGTTTCGTGACCTTAGCTGTTTATTCTGGGTGAGGTATTCAAGGTTTTCGAGACAGTCACGTGATCGATGACGTCACACCATTTGATTGACAGGGGTTGTTTGTTGGTGGTTGATTGTCATCATTTGTGGACAATTTCACATAACAACACCAAGGGAAATAGTAATAAAAATATACTTCCAAAGTTCCTCAATCCTTTAGTCCATCACTGCATTACTCCGGGATCAGTTCCGACTCGAAATGGGGTCGGGGATCATTTCGGGTACAGTTTGAGTAGTTTTTTATTTATTTAAACAACATTTCTTCTCGAAAATTGCTCTAAGAGCATAGCATGCTCATCAAAGAGAGCTCCTGTCGTTTACACGGCAACTGTGAGTGCAACGAACTGTTGTAAGACATTGCAGAGTAGATTATAGAAGATACAGATTATACATTTTAAGCTTTTAGCAACCCCCCCCCAACTTGGTATTTATAAGTGTCCTCCCCCTCCCCCCTCCCCCCTACAAAGGGGGAGGGGGGAAGACAGAGACTTGATAGCAAGTGACGCACTATAGTCATAATGGAGAACATGCTATACTAATACATGCAAGCTGAATCTGATGTCGTTACCATATTTGGAGGTCCGGGTGCCCCGGGTCCCCCACGTGCCACCACAGGGAGCCCAAATGCGTAAACTTGCTGTCAATCAAATGATTCATGGGTGAATTCGAAACTGGACTGTGTATCTGGAACCATATTACAATTTCTTCGGTACACCATGTAATCCCTTATAAGTGTAAAGCTCTCTTGTCACGTCCCATCATAGTTGTGCGTATACTTAATTTCGCAGTTGCTGATGTTGCTCAACATGCTGACAGTACAGGGCAAGCCAAAAAGAGGTGTAAGTCAAACGAGGAGCGGGAAAGTAGTACTACAGGTACAAACTGTAACACTGATGGAATAATTTGCCATATTATAGTTTTTGTGGAATGATTGTCTTTTGAAAAACGCTGTTCGCCAGCCAACAGGTCCTTTGATTGGTGCGGCATGAGACCTATGATTGACATATTTTATCGCACATTTCTTGTCATTGTTATCGTAGTGCCGTTCAAGGCAAAAACAGCCTCTCTAACCTGTAAAACATTCTTTACAAATGCCAAATGCTATTATATTCGCTCCACGAGCTAACAAATTCACAAGTTCGCGCTCATCAGACAATAGCCACGCACATGCACACAACTCCATATTGCTGAACGGCGTCTGAATCAAAAACGAATTCCCAACGGCGCATGATAAGTTCGGCGTCTGAATCAAAAACGAATTCCCAACGGCGCATGATAAGTTCGGCGTCTGAATCAAAAACGAATTCCCAACGAATCAAAAACGAATTCCCAACGGCGCATGATAAGATTGGTGTCTGAATCAAAAACGAATTCCCAACGGCGCATGATAAGATCGGCGTCTGTTCCCGTATACGATACGGATAAGTGCACAAAAGTCGTGCTATACTGCTATGGTATAGTAGTGACCGCACGCTACACTAAAGTATAAAAGGCTTATTCTTTTCGCAGAAAGATAAAATATTGTATTATTCTAATTTGTTTGCAGGTGGCTCCCCAAACAAAACTGTTATTGAAGGGAAAAAAGCGGCTTCGGTAAAGACAACGATATCTACAATGTCCCAATGCGTGGCAACGGCGCTAACATTTGCAAAAATTCGACAGAAGCGCCACCATGGACTCCACACGTTTCCAACACTACGGGTGCATCCCATCGGCATTGACATCATACTTTACAATGCTGTATCAGATCATTTAATGTTGACTTGTTTGACATGGACGAATCAAGCGCTTTTTATGTTGTGGTTGGTGCTACACCATAACGTATTTAGTCTTCTGGAATTGCCAAAAGAGTACGAAAGGTATACATCCGGCTTTCTCGATTATATTGCAAACAGTGGTGCCATGAAAACAGAACCTAAGTACCTTGTTTTTAAGAAAAGTTTTGAACTTGACGAAGAGGAGATTGATCGGGAACATAGGATAGGAGGCCTCAAATGATGTTTACTTGTACAAGGGTTGCCACAGGTCAGGAAAATGGTCCTGGAGAATTCTTAAAGTTAAGCTCTTGAAAAAATATATATACAGTCGAACCTCCCGTAAGCGACCTCCCAAAATGTCAAGCCTAGGTGGTCACATTCAGGCTAGCATAGTGTCCAGTGTTTTTCCTATATGTCCTATTTTTTAATGGCTAATTATGCAGCGTGTGCTAAAATCCTTTGGTTAGCAAGGGAAGTTTATCATTCACAACTTTTTCTACATTCGAGGTTTTCTCAAGTTATTTTTTGCCTACCCGTCGAGATAGCTCCCAAAACCGTGATAATGCCTAATAAAAGTTAGTACGCTGAGATACTAAAGTTCACCTTCTTTATGGCTATCTTAGGGTGCGTTTTTTTAAGAAAATCCAAGATTGGACTTTGGTGCACTTTAAGTTGTGTGAACCAGGTTGATGATCTGGACAAGAATTGTACATTGAAGAGAGACAGTGATGTAAGTAATTTCGCTACAAATTCCCATATTGAACTAGATGATAATAGCGAAGTTCATCCAAAAACTCTGACAGATTTGCCTAATAGATTTTTTAGTAGCGTACACGTGCAACCAAATTTGGGAATTCCATTAACTAGAGGATTTAAAATTGCTTCTATTAATTTGGCCAGCTTGTATAAAAATATTGACCAGCTTAGGATCTATATGCTGTCCAAGACAGTTGATATACTAGCTATTAATGAGACTCGTCTTGACAGCTCTATTCAAAATGGTGAAGTCAATATTCCTGGATATACCCTTGAAAGGAAAGATAGAAATAGAAAAGGGGGTGGTGTGGCCCTCTATATTAGGGACTCAATCAATTATAAGCGTCTCAATGACCTCCCGGATGATAACATAGAACTGATCAGTATCCAAGTGTCGAAGCCAAAAACAAAACCATTTATTGTATGCACTTGGTATAGGCCTCCAGGGTCCACCACTGAACTCATGAACAGATTTGAAGATGTACTGCAAAAATTGGACTCGTATCATATGGAGGTTGACATTATCGGTGACCTAAATTGTAATGTTGGTGCAACATCACCAGATTGCAGCACTCAAAAACTACTAGATCTCTGTGATAATTACCAGTATAGGCAATTAATTGATCAGCCAACACGTATAACACAGCTCACATCATCTATTATTGATTTGTTTTTAACTAATCATCCGTCGAATTTTTCGGACTCCGGAGTCGTCGATATCGGAATCAGTGATCACTGTCTGGTGTATGCAATAAGAAAGATTTGTATCCCCAAATCAAATCCAAAGACTGTAACGAACAGATGCTTTAAAAATTTTATTCCAGATAGTTTTCGAACTGATTTATCTATGGTCCCGTGGCATCTGATTGAACAGGAGCATAATCCTGACACTGCTTGGGATATATGGCAACATATGTTCTTAGACATTGCTAATAGCCATGCACCACTAAAGAAGAAGAGAGTGAAAGGAATCTCTTCCCCCTGGATTACTCCAGAGCTAAAAAGGCTAATGTTTCAGAGAGATAAACTTAAAAAATTAGCCTCGAGGTTCTCAACAGATTGCGATTGGACTTCTTACAAACACATGAAGAATAAGGTTAATCATGAGATTAAGAATGCTAAAATGAAATATTACAATGCCTTCTTCAAAGATAACCGCAGAAACATAAAGGCAACTTGGAAAGGAATTAATAGACTAATTGGAAATGAACCTAAATCTAATAAGATAACTCAGCTGGATACTGGGGATACTGTAAATACCGACCCCATCGAAATCAGTAATATACTCAACACACATTTCTCCAAAATAGGACCTTCCTTAGCCTCCGAAATTAAAGACACATCCAGCAATTTTACTGATTATATTACCCCTGTAGGACACATTTTTAACTTGGCGAAAGTATCATGCCAGGAGGTCTTCAATTTAATTCGGAAAATACCCAGTAATAAAGCTAGTGGTCTTGATAACATCTCAGCGCGTCTGCTGAAAGAAGCATCTCCCATAGTTACTCGTTGTCTAACTAAATCAGTCAATTGCCACCGGAATATTTCCAAAAGCTTGGAAGCGAGCTAGAGTTTCGCCAATATTTAAAGAAGACCTCAGGACTGATCCTAACAACTACAGACCTATCTTAGTTCTGCCTGTAGTGAGTAAATTAATTGAAAGAGTTGTTTTTGATCAATTGTACGAATATTTAAATAATAATAACTTGTTAACTGAATCACAATCTGGCTTCAGACCTATGTTTTCTACTGAAACAGCTTTACTTGAGGCTACGAATGAATGGCTATGGAATATCGACAACAGTCTCTTAAATGGGGTGATATTCCTAGACTTGAAAAAAGCTTTTGATACCATGGATCATGCTATCCTTCTGGGAAAGCTTAAACTCTATGGGGTCAGTTCTCAATCTCTAAACTGGTTCCAGTCCTATCTATCTGATCGAAAGCAACAAACGTTCATTGATGGAGCTCAATCTGATTTCTGTAATATAACATGTGGCATTCCACAGGGGTCTATTTTAGGCCCTCTCTTATTCACTATTTATATTAATGATCTCCCTTCATGTGATTTGTTTTCAAAACCCAGATTGTATGCAGATGATACTACCCTTACCACATCTGCAGAAGACCCATGGGTCCTTGAATATAAAATGAATTATGATATGAATTTAATCCAGTCATGGCTGTCAGCAAACAAATTAACTTTAAATGTGAAGAAGACTAAATACATGCTCATAGGGAGCCAATTTAAGTTATCCCAAATAAATAGTGACTTCACAATCAAAGTCAATAACACTCCCTTAGAAAGAGTAATTGAACATAAAACCCTTGGAGTTCAAATTAATGAATCTTTAAGCTGGCGCCCACACATTCATACCATTTCAAAGAAAATATCCGCTGGTATTGCTATCTTGAGGCGTGTAAGTAATTTTATACCACTTGATACTAGAGTGAATACGTATAATGCACTGGTGATGCCATATTTTAATTACTGTAGTGCCGTATGGGGTAATATCAATAAGGGACTAGCAGACAATCTTCAAAAGCTGCAGAATAGGGCTGCTAGAATTCTCACCTTCTCTGACTATGACGTTCGCTCAAGAGCTTGGCTTGGAAAGGCTAGAACATGTAAGACTTAAACAGTTGGCTGTGACAATGTATAAAATACATAATAATCTTTCCCCATCGTATCTGAGGCGGATCTTTACCAACACCTCAAATGTACACTCACACAATCTTAGAAATTCTGAGCTAAATTATTATGTCCCCAGACCCAGAACTGAGTCTGCAAAAGGGAGCCTACACTACGGAGGATCTGTTCTGTGGAATAGGATTCCTTCTGAGATTAAAAAACTGCCTAGTTTGAATGTTTTTAAAACTTCGTTTCATGGGAAAGATTTCTCTGATACACCATTGTAACTCTTATTATTCATGATACAAGTTTTTGTATTTTTAACATTATAGTAAATAGCTCCTTGTTACTCATGATATAAGTTTTTGTTTTTGTTTTTGTATGTTTAACATTATAGTCAATAGTTCTTAAAATATTTTAGTATAATTTAAACACGATTCCTAGGAAGACCATGTAAAATGATATGATTTCGTGTATAAATAAAGATTGATGATGATGATGATGATGAAAAATTAAGTTTGTTTGTATGTTCCTATAACGCATACATGAAAGAACTTGATGTTGTTTTATATTACATATAGTCCTATTTCTTTTAGCCATATTTGTAAATATTGTACAGAATCGTAGTTAATAAGTTGTTGTATATTTTGTTTTCTCGGAATAAATTTATTGTCTTTTGCGTTCAAGTTAATTTGTCAATAATTGTACTCTGTTGAAGTAAAGCGTTCTGTTTTTGGTCACAAACAGAAAAAGAAAGGCATTACCTGCGCGAACTGGTAAGCAGACATGAAAATCTTTGTAAGCTTTCTTTTGTGGTCTAAGTGTTTCCTCCCTCTACTGTTTTAAATTTCTTTTCTTAATTTTAAGTTAGCTTCAAAATGAAGAAATGTAAAATGGTTTCCGTGTTTACATAGCCTGATGTAAACACTTGGGAGGTTGGGAGAACACGAGATAAGCATAGGAAACCACGACGCGAAGCGGAGTGGTTTCCAGCTTAACGAGTTTTCTCCCAACCTCCCAAGTGTTTACATCAGGCTATGTAAACACGGAAACCATTTTACATTTCTTTTATAAAATAACTAATGAAAGAGGAACGAAAACCGTGTTTACATACGCTCATGTAAAATGGTTTTATGGCCAATCAGAGCGCGCGTTCTATTTGAATTATTTTATAAAGTTTTTTCGATACCAACATATGCCTAGAAACCCACTTTACCAGTCAACTTTAACTTTAACAGTCAACGATACATTGACATCCCGGTACTTCCTGGCATAGAAGCCTGAAAATGAAGCTTTCCTAAATGCCTAATGAAAAGAGAGGACCATTTCCCTTACTGCTTTGCTTGTGGTTTCACTTTTTTATTTGAGGACCTGTTGCTCATGACTCGCACAAGACTACCACGCCGATTGGCTTCAAGCATTCTTATCTTATCTTACATATTCTCCACTTACCGGTAGTTTAAGACAAGTAGAGTTTTACTGTAGAGTTTTGTCTATAGTCATTGAACGATTCACACAGAACTTAAGGTCAAAAATATGCCTTTGCTTATTTACTACTCACAAATTTTAAAAGAAGAGTAGGTGAGTGATAATTCATTTGTTTAATAAATTAATTACTTGAAATGTTCATTTGGTTTTGAACAACACAGCCCTTACATAGAATTAGGAGTAGCAAAACAACAAAACCTTTTTTTTTTTTTTTTTCATTTATTAAACCATTGAAACCAAAAACAAAAAAATCTGAAGCAACCACACATTTCCTATTCATCTGATAATCAAGAACCATGAATACTGGTTAGCCATGTCCTAACCCTTAACTCCCAAGATCTCATTAGTAATTCTCCTTACTGTCTGCCATACAGTTCTTGTGATGTTTGTTTGGAGAAATTGGTATTGGATCAACTTAAAATCCCCTAATTGATACTTTTCTTTATTCTCATCTTTTGTCTACTTGATGTTATATTGATATTGTAAGGAGAAATTCTGTCTTGGTCACTTGTGGGAGTTTAAGGGTTAATTATAGAACTGTACTGATTTTCAAACAAATAATTTTCAAAAGAATTAAATATAGTTTTATTGCCTCCTTCACAAATACTCATTACAGTTATATCTGTTTATCATTCTATTCTATCTGTGTGCACATATAACCTTAAAAAATAACTTTCTATAACTTACAGCTCAATTCAATCATTAAAACTAATTTAAGTCTGTGCTTCACTATTTCCCCATTTCACTATCCATGATTATTTCTCTTCTAGCTGCCTATCAAACTCTCTGATAGCATATGAGCATCAAAATAAGAAATCAGTGACCCTAACCAGAATGGGGGATTGGAATTCTTAGAGTCCATCTGCCTTTTTGTTCTCTCCAACAGAGTTTTGGTAGTAAAAAAATCTTAAGGATATAACTGAGTAAATACAGTACACACCCACATACAAGAACATGTGGATTACTAACCTTCAAGCTGAAATTTTACAAATAGAGAAAATAAGTACAAAAATATGAACCAGATCAGCCTACCAAAATTAGAACGGCTCTTATATGAAAAAAATATGAACATCAAAATAAGAAATCAGTGGCCCCAATCAGAAGAAGGGATTGGGATTTTAAGAGTAAATCTGTTATTCTATTGGTAATCACTCTGAGCTGAAACATTCATAAATACACTAATTTTCAATATATTAATTTTACAACAGTAGTTGTATCTGTTTATAAAACAGATAAGATATTATGTGCACTCTAATTGCTCAAATATCAATTCATCAGTTCATTGTATCACTTACAATGGCTACATGGTTGTATTTATAAGAAGCAGAAGACTGTACTTTCTATCAGTTCACCCATGTACAATAACCCACTTGGGTTATTGGGAGAACACTTATAAAGCTTGTAACTAAATCATTTCTCTCATCTGATCACCTTAACATTAATTAACACTAGTTTACAGATTGATTTGAAAATGTCATTTTGGGTATGTTAAGTCATCAGACTTTGGAGAAAAGCACCCTAGTAAAATAACAGAAAGTGCAATCTATTGCTTAAAGAAATTACTGCCAGTATCTATCTGTAGAGTCACTTTTCTCATTATGATGAGAGGCATCAGACCACATGCCTTTTTTGGTGTGGAAATAATGAAATAAATGAACCATCTTCAGCCTCTCTATCTCCATACCATCCATCAAAATGCGATCACAGATCTCCCAATCTTCTCCACCCCATTTGTTCTTGAATTCTTTTACATTCATTCCTCCAATTCTGTCCCAGTCACTTTTGTACATGCCCATCAAACCATACCCATAGAACTCCCAAAAGCCTACAGGATGATGAGCTGTGGCCCCACATGATAGGCGGATAAGCAAAGGGCTGTAAGCAATCTTACCCTGAACACAGTGCTGTATTAAAAGAAGAGGGCAGATTTACATGAGTAGAGAAGGTAAATGTTTGGCTTAATCTTGAAAAATATGAAGATTCTTTTGCTTCCTAGCGTTGTTGTAAATAAGCAACTCTTAAAGAAAGATGTTATTCATAATGCCCCAAGTGAGAGACAAAGAAAAAGTCTGAGTCCCCTAAAATGATTCAAACCTTTTGAGGTCCCATACTTGTGACAAAATAAATAACACCTCATTTAAGATACTCATAGAAAATCAAGATAGATGATGATGACAACAGTGAAAGGTGATAAAAGTCAAAAGTAAGGTTTCTAACAATTTTAACTCCTTGCATGTCAAAAACAGATCAATATATGGCAATTAATTCTACCAAAAAGTAAATACACAATTAGAAAAACTGGTGTTAGGAATACAAGTTTTAAGGGGTGGGTTTGAGAAGAGGAAAAGTGAAAGAAAGGAACAGTCTTGTTCTTCGATTCTTCCCATTTGTATCCCTCAAAAATTTGTGCTCTGTTTTCTTTCCAACACCAGCTAACCAGGTTATGGTAA